TTGATCCTGCTGTCCTATCGTTGGGCAGGGATTGATGTAAACTTCACAAAAATAAACTAGAAAGATAACCTTAGATAACTCATGTTCGGGCACTTGTTCGGCTCCATTGATTTTTGTGTTTTACACTGTAATCATATCACATCATATTATGACATTTTCCAATTTTCTTGGAGCAGTTTTCATTATTCAAATGTCCGCGGTGCGATGGGTAGCCGCCGGCTAGTGGTATTGGTTTCGTCAATTACTGTGAAGATAAATCACTGTCTATTCCTATCGAGTTATGTCGTTTACTTGTTTTATGTTTTTTATAGAACCTGTTTTGAGAATGCGTGCAACAGTTCCTTGTCGATTTTGAGTAGACATGGCGGAGGTTTGGTATCACCGTCGGCCGGAGCAGAGAATGCGGCACCGGATATGGAAGAAAGTCTGCCCAGCAGAGGTCAAAGGACATGTGTTGCTGAAGTATAGTAAAAGTAAGTATACCTTTATGGTCAGCATTTATAGCAACACTATATATGTGTATATATGTGAGGGTGTGTGTGTGTGCGTACATATGTGCGTGCATGTGTGCATGCGTGTGTGCGTGTGCCACCTAAGATGTAGAAAACAGATTGACGTAATGCTGTACGTCATTTTACGACGTCTTATGATATTAGGCGAAAGTAAAAAGTGAAACCTTTGTGTGGTAAAAATACATCATAAGTGTAAGGGTCTCGTATCTACACATGTTTTGTGTTGCTATACTGAAGTAAAATGATTTGACAAGAGTTGATATTGCCAATGTTATGTAGATTTTGTATTATCCTTTTAAATAATTCGTTTTGCTATGTTTTACCTCTGTAACAACTTTACAGGTTTTTGATATACAAAAATTTAACACGATCGCGTTGTCCTGCACGGAAAGGAAATGGGGAAATGTTCTTTTCTGCTTTTGAAAATTCGTTTTTGATGGATTTTTTTTGGATAAATATGTAGCCGAAATGAATCTTGGGAGAAATGGAGACGAATCCACCCCTTACATGAGTAATTATCAAAATGTGTGTACAACCGTAACTATAGCAACAAATCTGTTGGTTCACTTCCCATCACTGAATAACTCAATGGTAATGCATGACCAACACAGAATATTGACATTGTATCAAATTTGATATGCATATATTTCGATCCCAGACCCAGGAATCAGATTTCGTCCGGCCGGGTCTGTCTCTAATGTCACCCTGGAGGTAGAATAGTATCGATCTCCTGTCCAGCAACGATCTGAAACAATCACGTGACCATTGCATGACTATAATTTAGCCATTGACTGCCCTACTAGGATAATATGCCAATATTGTATGTATATCGTTTGATTTCTTTCATCAAAATTTACACAACCTCGATTTATTTAAACAACTTTGAGTTGATTCAATTCAGTTCAACTTAATTGGTACATCATAATTACATGTTAGAATTGATGGATACCGTGAACAAAAAGGAAATAATGAAAAAGTATTTACAAACGTTGAAAAGAGTTTTCAACGAAATAATGGTACATCAATCTGGTTACACTCCTGTCCTCCTCAGTTCAGATGGACTGTTTGATAAACAAACGGGCCTGAAATGTAATCTGAATATTTAAAAGACGACATAGTATTTGAAAGAGTGGGTTAAAATTTCCGCAATTTGGAGATAAACTTTAACCTTACCGATTATCGATGGGGCAGTGTGGAAAAGGCAACTCTTTGATCACTTTACACCACAAACACTAACTATCTGTAAGGCGAAATCAAAATTTATATCCAATGGTAGACTTTATAGTAGTGTACTAATAGTCAGTCTGTATTATTTACTCTAAAAAATATTTGAATTTAATATATTAAAAAATTTCATTTACATATATATTACATGTGGGGTGGGCAAACATGCTTCAAACTAATATTGATACTTTTCCGAAAAACTGTTTTCAGAAAGGTTTTTGAGAGGGTTAATGATTACTGAATTGCAAAAACAAACACATTTATGTGAAGACGGTTCCCTGTAGGCTGGCTAATAGAAAATAAGTACGGCGTTGGAATGAAATATTGACGGTGTGAACACCGTGGTATTATTTGTTAAAACATTCAGTTTGAAGTGAATTTATTTCTATCAACTTCAGTGTCCCTGATTGACTGTCTCCTTATGTAATTACATATGTAACAGGTTAAGTTTGACTAACACTAAATTGTCCCCTAATAACCGTCTTTTGCAAACACGCACTAAACTTCATGACCCGGAATAACTGTGTAACTGGAAAAAAATCAGTATTTTAATAGTAACATTAAGCTTTTAACTTATAAGGATTTTTTAAAATGTACCGATAACGTAAAGATTCCCCATAAAAGATCGTTAGATCTACTTGTAATGTTATCTATTATGCCGGAGTTGAACACTTCCGATTATAAATATTTCACTTCAGACAGGAAAATGCAAATTCGGCTTGTATAAAAGCTGGCTACACGGAAGATATGTGGTAAGATAACTCTGTGTCAGATCAGATTATCAATGATATGATATATACAAGTGTTGAAATACCTAACTCTTGATTGTCCTAACTCTCCTCACCCACGCACACTTTTATTTTTTATTTCGAGATACATTCCTTTGAATACATTTAATTCGAAAACAGAAACAGCTGAATTAGATTTCAAATAGAATTATGACGAAAATTTCACATAAAAATTCTTACTTTAACCACGAAACGTAATGAGATGTTACAAGTTCAACAGACCGGAAGATCTGTCTGTTATGTGAAGGGTTAGTCAAACAGTTGGAAATCGGGAGGGGATAGTTGGTGGTTTGTAGGTTAGGTTAGTGAATGAGTCAGTTCCTGGCTGGTCACGTGATAACAAGAGGAAATTGGATCAATTGACAGTACATTTGTTTATATTATAGAGACCCGGATAAAATTTGACAGGAAAATGCGGTTGGATAAATAAAATTAGGTTACATACTTAAAGTCGTCTAAACGGGCACTTAAAATGACGAACAATATACCTTGTCTCGAGACAGAGGGATGGGGGTCATTTCTTAGTGAAGGGCGAAGCAAGCCTACAATTACATTGATAAATAGCGTCGGCAAAAGATAGTATTATCTATTTATAACACAAATTAACTATGAGACTTTTGAATCTTAATTAATATACATGTATTTGGTACATGTTCAAATCTTTGATAATGTTAGTTAAATCAAATCACAAATTTAGAGATTCTGATGAAGTTGGTTGAATAAAAAGATAAAATTTAAAAAAAAAATAGCTATGACATAAAACGATAAGATTGCAGCCCTGAAGTGTGGTTCATAACTCCGTGATATAAGTTAAATTGAAAATATAATAATTTGAGGATAAACCTCTTGATATATCGAAACCGGAAAAATGGTTATCAAAGAAGGGTAGTCTGCCTATCATTTGAGGAAATAATTCTTTTGTAGTGTTTGTAGCGAGTTTCTTTTGTAATGGTATCAGCGAGTATTTAATGTCCGACAGCAGTTATCTGAAACAAGAGTAAAATGATAATAAGGGAAGTTCAAAGAACACAGAGGAAACCACTTTACTCTTTCGGAAGCCCACATACTTCACTTGGAAGCCGAGTACAACCATCCATTCATTAGCGCGGGAAATGATACAGGGCGTATTCTTACTGCAGATTTCGACGTGTGCGCGTGCATAACGTGCATTTCACTTATCGCTTGATAAAGCAGAAAGTTTTTTGAAATCTGCGACGTAATCATTGAAACCAGACACTGTTTGACAAGGACGATTGCTGAGCGAGTATAGGTCGGGCGTAGGGGACATAACTCGTGCAGTTCTGTTACATGGTCTGTCTGCTAAATAAACGACCTGCTTTATTGCCCCTCTTTGAAGAAAAATAATTGTTTCCAACTTTCTTTGACAGAGAAACTTCTGTTTTACAAAGTCGGGTATAATTCTCATTAGTTGAATGATATTTTTTAAGCACCGGAAGAAAAAAAAATGTCAGGACCAAATCTTTGTCGATCATTTGATCCCGCTATTGTAAAACACGTTGTTTCCGTTCAATTGGGTGGTCCCGTGATGAACAATGGTTGCATACACCAGTTATGTCGAAAATTTCATAAGCAAGGTAAATTGATATACAAGATCTACTGTTTGGTTTGTGAGTAAAGGTGAGTGCGTGCTAGAGATGTCACAGGTAAATTCAGGATCCCTCGTTCTCCGCTGTATTCAATTAGGTTACTTTCAGTGTATACATACTTATGATACATAGGACGACGAGAACAATTTACATTTATATTAGATCAGTATGTAAAAGTAACCTAACAAATATACTCTGTTTACCTGTAATTATAGACAGGTATCGGGTTTCGCACTATTACTTGTGCTGGTATCAACGCCCGCCCGTACACTGCAGACAGTCATAATACAGCTTATCAAATCGATTTTATAATACCAGACAAAAAAGGCAAACAACAATATTTGTAATTGATTCATCGGAAATTAAACGTTGCGGGTTGTCATGGAGACGGATGAGAAACCTTCAATACAAACACTTCGTTGATCATGAGTTACGTGTAGGTGGGCTGTGGTGAACTTCGAAGTGAATTAATCTTAAATAAAGGCAGCAGATGTGTCAATAAAGCCACTTCTCCCATTTCGCTACCCAAGCATATAGTGTTGATACACAATGCCAATCAATAGACATCGGTAATACCCTGCATCGCCTTTTCAATATCTCTTTGAAAAAGATCGAGACATTGATTCATAGAAATTTCTAAAACCATTCAGATTTCATATACAGTATGAATACATTAAACACCGAAAAAGACGTGTTTTACTCTCCTTTCCGCCGAAGGGTACCAAGCGGTATTATGTACGCTGAATTAGTAGTAGCAGCCATATGGACTGGCTGCCGAGCTACCAGTGGTGCTGGTGCACACTTGAGCGGGTATTCAGCAGCCGTACCGAACGTCTGAGTCACGTTGTCTCCCATTGGTGTATTAATCAAAATGGACGCAAATCACAATACCGTAACGTTTTTGTAGATGGCTACCACACTTTGTTACTGTAGATAGTGGAGCTCGGACGTGTGCTGTGTAAATTGTTCAGTGTTTACGTTTGTTGTGTATGTGGAGTTCCTGCTAAACGTGTGTACATGTATCACAACCGCTGTAAAGGGAAAGGCTTCCGTTTTGTAATTACTAACGTAATTCCGACTATGATAAACAACATAGGATTATTAGTACAAGGGGATATACATGAATTATTATACTGGAAGGTTTGAAAAAGTGGATGTTCTACGGACCACCTGTCAAAGTGTGTGTTCACGGCGACTACCTCGCGTGGTCTCTCGGGGATCTTCAAACTCCTATCGCCGAGAACAGCTGTTATCGATCTCTCACGGATTGATTGACGAGTGATTAGAATCGATATTGAGTGATTGAAAAGAAGTCAGGTAAAACCATACCTGTATTCTGATACAGAGATACGACTCGGAAGAATTCACACCTGATACATAGGTAAACATTGACTGGTACGTTGTGTAGGTAAACACAGATAGGTACATAGTATGTAGTGTAGCAGGTGTGTAAAGCACAATTGACATACTTATGATAATTCTATGTCAGCTATAAATTATCAAAGGTATAATCACTAATATGCAATGTTTATATATGAATGAATTGTATCTACAAGTATATACATAGATATAAGACATAAATATTTGTCATTCATATTAATGTTTTCTGTCTATGAATACAAACGATGCGTAATGCACAGAAGGAATAGGAAATTCTTGTGAATTTGGACAATCTAAAGCAAACAATTAACATTTTCATCTCTAGGTCATAATACATTAAAATAAACACACATTTATAGATATTGGGTTTTTAAAAATATGAACAAAGATAGTTTTAGTGTATACCGAATCTATGAAAAAAAATCTCCTGAACATTAATCGCTTTTTCAATAGAACGACTTTAAAACTGTCTTATTAATTATTCATTTGTGTAAGCTAAATTTTCATGGAAGATGTATGCTGTTGGTGTGTGACATCCATCACTTTAGTATAATGCACATTTCCACTCCCGTCGAGGATGACTAAACGTGGTACAGATATAACACCACTGAGTGACCCAAACACACAATTTCATTACCACACATGATAAAAGTCCGATCGACACACACTCTGTGTATCTAATTCTAATAACTTAAATTTGCTGACTCATATACATATATATATCAAATATATGTAGCAATATAAGAAATTCGTTAATTAGGATAGTGTGTGCGGTTTACTCGCTTAAGTATACCAGATAGTGGAAATTAATTTGATTACACAGGTCCATAGCTGAGATACTCCATTTCTAGTTATTCAGTGTGCTGCCTTTCTTTCCAGCCTGCAGGGCTATCACGTCTTAGGTAGGAGATCTAGATACGGAAGAAAAGTGCCCTCACTCGGGGTGCATCAGTCGCCATGGAGATACGGGGTGAACCAGATTCTCAGCTCGACCCCCCGGGGTCACTGGCCGCACCCACTGTTCAGGGATTACCTAGGGGTCGGACGACCTCCCGGACACAAACCGAGGGTTGTGATATGTCGTGTCTACGAAGTAGATCACTTAGACAACATTGTGTATACTTGTGGTGTGTAGTGTTCCTTCTTGCCATTTTGGAATGTTCAGCAGACACCTACCACGACAATGAAGTTGCGATGGTGGTAAGTCCTAACATATCTATTTTAATATTACAGACAAAACCCTGTAAAAAGGATAATACTCTCAAACCATTGTATTGTCATGGTGATGTTTTTCCTTATTTTGAATATAATTGAACTCTGTTAAATATTAGTGTTCCACCTGACTTGCTGTAACGAGTTGGTCCGTTTGTACAGTAATGAGTTGGTCCGTTTGTGCAGGAACATAAACACTAAAATTGGGATATCTTATTTACACATAAATAGCTTAATGACAATCTAGATGTCAGTTCACAAATCGGTGTTTTTATATTAGTTAAAAGTTGAAAACTGAACACAAAATATTAATACCATTCAATATTTTATAAACCAGAATACCGGGTTATATTTATAAAATTGCTGTCCATAGTTTATTGTAAGATTTGACCCATTAGAATAGCAATGCTCTAATTGTATTCCCGATGATGGGATGTATAATATCAATTTTAAATGGCGTTGATTATTCGGGGGGTCTTAGGAAGAAAAAAAAAAGGACGAATTTATCTTTTAACATGTTTTTTTTACAAATGTTGACAAATCGTACAGTTGTGTGATCGCACGATGTGGGCACGCTCTCTGCACGATGTACACCCTTTGTATTATTGTATCAAAATCCGCTTTTCGGTTACATTAGTAAGAATCGTCACGCTTCGATAGTTTTGAATGTTTTACACAGAAAAATGGAAGAAATGTTATTAACTCTTCCAGACTGCAGTCCATGTTTATCGATTTTGGCATTAATTTGAAAATCTTTAATAAATGTAATGAGTTTATGATAGGCTCAACATCGGCATCAGCCTTGTACATAGGCCGTCACCATGAGCGAGTGTAACCTACTGACATACAATGTATTTCCATTGATATCATAACACAGCAGTTGGAGAGACATCACAGAGAACTACATGGCACTCCAACACACCTGTTTGAGAATTCTTCCCCTTGTTTGTGTGCTAATTAAATTTTGTGCACCTGTAAAACTAAACACACACACACACACAAAACTAACATTACAATAAAGCCCGCAGCTTAAGCTTTTAAAAAGTCGTTAAACTTTGCTAACGGAACATCTGAAAAATTACTACTTTTTTAAAGATTTTTAAACAGTCGGGGATCTAAAGCAGTCCCTTAGGGAAGTAATTTACAAGTACAAATCAGCTTGTCTGATATATGGCTCTGACAAGTTCATTAATTGTATAAAAAAAATCTAATTAATAAATTGTTACAAATACGATTCGTGTACAACTTGTATATGTCTCTAATATTTACAACCATGGACAGTTTCTCTTATTTAATTCTTAAAATTCTTTTGTTATATCTGTTGTATTGTAACACTTTTTTTCCGTCCCCGCTCGGTTTCTGCGTTATGTTGAACATTTAAAATACACCAGAAGAAAGCCGAGACCAGGACAAAGGACGGATTGAAGTGTTTTGTTATTAAAATTTCACCCTCGCTAACAATTTAATGGATCATGTATGACACTTTTGTGATGTTAAGTTGCTTTTAAAATGAAAGAAATATGGCTTGTTTTGTTTAGAAGACTTGATAAAAGAGAATTAAGTGACGGAACTAAAGTGAAATTCTTATAATCAAATTTAGAATATATTGAGTTACATATCAACAGCAGTTTGTTGATAAAACTGTGCATGCATACAAATATATCGCTAAAGACGTAGTATCAAATGGCGGACCCAAAGATTGTGTGTTTAATTTCAGATAGAATAATTAGTCAAGTTTATTTAGCGTATCGTTTTGTGGTACAAGGCCGAATGAGGGGGGAGGGGGGTAGTGGGATGGTGGGCTTCACCGGTGTTATTATAACTCCAAACAGCACCACGTTTAAACAATGCAGGAAACTGGCCAACTGTCTTCTCCAACATAATTTGCAAAGTTTTTTACGCTTTAACAGAACGAGTAATCACACAAATACTCGGAGTTGTTCAACGTAAAAATAGACAAATAATATATATATCGCTTTAAATTGTAATACGTTTTTGGAACATGACTTAATTTTTTATGAGTTATATTTTGAGGTGTTCTTGAAAACATCAGTGAACATGAACCTGATGATGTTTGACTAAGACATATGGTTGTCATACATCTCCTAGTACTTGGAATATTATTTTTTTGAGGGTATATAGGCCTGGACTTCAGATGTTACGAACTACACGTAGTGAGTTTCTTACTCCCTACCATTACACTAATAGGAAACATACAACTTCCTGCTTTATATATTGAATTAAAACTCCCAGGGGCCGGTTTTATACAAACATAAACAGATGGGGTATCGATGAATCCAACAGCTCCGCTCCTATCCGCCACCCTCCCTGTGTCTGCCATTCCTTACCATTATCTCCCAGCCTTTCCCGACTTAAAACAAAGCACATTTTACCTTCCCAAGCAGAATCGATACCTGAACGACCGTTATTTTTTTACATAAAACTCCAATATTTTCAGCTCTGTTCTACAACAATCATACTCATATCTGCTATATGTTTTTCAGGTAGTAATACTGACCGTATCTTTAAATAAAATATAAATTTGGAACATAGGTCCGTGGTTTTAGAACGAAAGCGAATTATCCATTATGTCAGTCTAAAGTTGGTTCCTAGTTTCTAATTCCGTTTAACAAAAAACGGAACTGGAAACCAGATCCTAGTTCCCATTTAGCTTAAATGAAACCGGGAACCAGACCATACTTTCGTTTAAGAAAAAATGTGTATGTTGACAAAATGAAAAGTCCAAAGCTCATGGTATTATAGAATTGAACCTACAACTTTTCAGACTAAACTTTAGTTTTATCTTAATGATTAAGACTATCATAGCCTTTATAAAGGAATTGATCTTACACGAAACTCACATCCAAATTTTAAGTTTTAGCTTAAACGGAACTAGGAACCAACTTCAGGCTCCTCCACAAAGGAGCCTCAAGATGATTCCCAGTTCCTAGTTAGATCCCAAGAGAAAGCCTAACGATAGTCATTATATTTCGTGTTCTGAGAGGAATAGGATACCAAAACGTATAAACAGGCAAAAAACGCGATATGCCACTTAGACGAACGATAAGAAACCAATTATACAATTTATATCGTATATCTGTAGAGGAACATTGACCGGATGTCTAGAATAAATATATACATTCACCGGAATACGTTTTGTAAACGAGGCTATTGGTTGCGTGCCTTTCTCATCCTGATATCGATGGCACGCTAGAGGCCATCCTCGATTCCAGACCGAATGAATAATTCAGTTAATATTCAACTATATAAGTAATTGGTACCTACCTGGTATATATCATGACAAATTACAGAGAAGAAATGGTCTTCGTGTGCTTATTGTATTGGCCAGACGGACCGAAAGCGTTCGGGACGATGGCTAAAATTTGTTTTAGTACCGTTAAACTTTCATTAAATTCAAAGAGTGCCTTATCTCAGCTTTTAACATGCACGGTCAGAAAGTCATGATTGAAGTTTTGATTGACCAATTAGGACAGGAATATATTTCACTGTGTCAGTCTGCCAATGCAAGGCACGTTAGAATTGCCTATCTTTCCAACCTTTATGAAAAGCTATTGTTTTGCCCAGCTCATTTTATTATTCTCCTCATATCTGGAAATGTAGGACTGTCCACTGTCTGTCTGTAATATTTTGTTGATAAAGAAGAATGCAGATAAAATATTGTCTCTTTGACATATCTTTTTTAATTCCCTTCTCGGGGAGAGAGGAGGGCGGTGGAGAGGAACAGAACAGCTAATAAGAGAATGGTGAAACTACAGGATTTACCAACATGAAATGAACATTTTTTGTAAATAGGATATGTTCTCTTTTGAATATATTTTTAAAACAATCGTAATCATATAGTGCTGCTAAAGAACAACCTTGTGTAAACACCCGTTGCCATTGGTTACAGGGTGGTGACGTTTTCCTCGTAAATACTACCCGTACACATCATTTATGAAGTATAACAGAACTACTGTAAAAGAAAGAGGACATGGTGTCGTTTGACATACTGTTACTAGTCTATAGTTCACCGAGTTTTACTTTCCCATAATTTATAATCATCCTTTCTCACTTCCCGCCATTTTTAGAGGAGCAGCTGGAGTTATCTGTCTTGGTATCTATGGTAACCGCCTTTGTTCGCGTGAGTGTGTGTCATTGTCATTCAGCAAGGTCATGGCTTGACTTTGTGGGAACTTTCTGTCAGCTGCTGAACAAAATTCCAATGTCAGATTTGGTTTATTCTAACAACTGTCCGATCCTCCGCTATTCCTGCCCCTCCCCCAGTCGTTTTCGGGAGATCTGCAAACACGGATGCTTGACTTTTAAGACCGCGAGTGATTCATCACACAGGTCCTAGCGTTGATTAAAACGAAGTGGTTTCGATTTGATTAGTTCACGAGTTTTAACATTAATCAATCTATAGGCATAAGTCGAGTTAATTAGAGAAATCGTACAATATTTGGGAACAGATAACGATCTAATTCAAAATCTTACTCCGTGCTTGTCAGAAACATATTTGATATTCGTGTAGGATTTAACACCAGCTTGTTGTAAGGTGTGTACATCATATAATAAATAATACTATTTTCAGTCGGTATTGTGGGGGTATATAACACCTCATAACTTGTTATACAGTCGTTATCGTGGAGGTATATAACAGAATAACACCTCGTAACTTGTTATACAGTCAGCATCGTGGGGGTATATAACAGAATAACACCTCATAACTTGTTATACAGTCAGCATCGTGGGGGTAATATAACAGTATAACATCTCATAACTTGTTATACAGTCAGCATCATGGAGGTATATAACAGTATAACACCTCATAACTTGTTATACAGTCAGTATCGTGGAGGTATATAACAGTATAACACCTCATAACTTGTTATACAGTCAGCATCGTGGGGGTATATAACAGAATAACACCTCATAACTTGTTATACAGTCGTTATCGTGGGGGTATATAACAGAATAACACCTCATAA